CTAACAACAAAAAGAAGAAGGAGCCACGCGTTCACAGGCCTTACGCCTTCGACAAGGTACATACTCCTTCTCGCGCGCGCGCGCGCGCGCAAATATAAACCGTCATTTCCTAGCCGCGTGATGAAAAACGTAATGAATCCCAACGGACAACGGATAATAATCGTTGATCTCTCTGGCGCAGATGGAGGAGCTGGTGCGGCAGATGCAAGACCCTGAGAACGGGGTACCCGTGCGCAGCCAAAAACAATTTCTCACCTCGATCCCCTCAGCGTTCATGGGTGAGTGCCATCGGTACCTGCGTTGTGGAGTAAGCGTAAGCGGCCATCACGGCCAGGGCACTACAGTAGGCTGCCTGCGTGTTGCAGGTTACGACCTCATCGAGTGGCTGATGGACCGGCTTGCCATCGAAGAATCAGGTACGGGCCTCGTCTCTATGTCTACTACTCCGCTGATCCGTTGCCGGCTGCTCTCCGCTGCTGTGCCGCTCTTTCCCTCTTCCACTCGCTCCCTCCCGACACGCGCAACCGCAACACTCTACCCGAAGATACTACTACTACTACTAGCTAACTAGATACGACACTACCGATAGTTTCGCTTCGCAGTCTCCGATCTCCGCATTTGCATCGATACTTTCCGCTTGGTTCCTCCAAAGAGTTATCGATTACATACCGACACACGTCACACCACACCAGGATTATTCTCTTTCGTTCGAGTCGCGAATTATGAATCATTTATAACCGGCCGGTTATTGAAAAGATGAGAGATTAACGATGCGAGAACTTTCAGCTTCAGCCTCACTTTTGCGGTGGGTCATTCCCGCGGTGAGATATATATTTCCGCGAATTTTCCGAAAAACTTCTGATTTTTCCTTGCTCCCCCGTGCAAATGAAGGGCGTAAATTTCGCCGAATTGCCCGTCCCGCTTCGTTGCGAGGCGAGCGTCGTAATTCGCGTCGGATGAATTTCGAGAGAAACGTCCTCGTAACTCGGAGAAACGACAATGCGAATTCGCCGATAGCATTTACGAAAAAATACTAATACAATTGATATTTATTCATGTGATACACTAGCCGAACCAAAAGATCGAATTAATTATTCATTACATAATTACTTGGATAGAAAAAGATAGGGAGAGAAAGAGCGAGCTGGTGTTCCCTTCGAAGAAAGCTCATCAAAGCGGCGCAATCAATTTCTTAAAAAAAAAAAAATAAATAAATAAATAATTGCTAGAAAAATTGTGTAAACAGACAAACCCAACCAAAATACGACACAGAGCAATGTGGCATCGTTTGAGTGATCTGCACAACCCTAAGCAACACTAAGCGACCCTTAGAGACACTTCTGTCGATATAAGCGTTTCCTCAGATATCAAGGTGCACTATTGTGTTTGACAGTAGAGGCGGTCCATATTGCTAATCAACTATGCCAGTATGGCTACTTCTTCCCGGTGAATGACTCCAAGACGCTTACCGTTAAGGACGATAGCTCTCTGTATAGATTTCAGGTGAGTTGCATTGAGAGGTCAATAAGAAATGAAAATTTCCGACTTATCCGGAATCCTTCGATTGTCATGTCTGAAAAAAATTAATACGCGTAGACACCCTATTATTGGCCGTGGCAACATAGAACCCCCGACAACGTCGAGTACGCGATCTATCTGGCTAAACGAACCCTGAGGAACAAACAACGTCACGCTCTCGAGGACTATGAGATCGTATGTAAATTCACGTAGCAATCGCGATAGCTTGTATCGAAAATCTTAATTTTAAGGACTATATTTCGTAAAAGAGAAAAATCGTGCTATCTTTAGGAAGCTTTGAACAGCCTGCGCAAGAACCTGCAGAACAAGTGGGACATAATACAACTACAAGCGGAAGAACAGGTGAATAACAATCCGTCGTTAATTTTTATCGATAGCACCATAGAGTGACAAGCCATATCCCGCATAAATAATAATTCCGTATTTTCGAAATACACGCGACTTCTTGAAACGTGCTGCCTTGATTCTGTGGACTCAGGTGCGCCTAGCTAAGGAACGCAAGAAGGGCGATAAGATAGTGAGCGACTCGCAGGAACGAGCATTTTGGAGAGTCTATCGGCCGCCACCCGGTTGTCTCAGTAGCCTGGAAGTCGTGCCCGTACCCACTCGTTTTCGTCCTGGACTTCCGCGACCTCCGTCACGCAAACGCACTCTCACCGATCTGCAACGTGAGGTGGGTGCGTTGAGAGAAAACGATCGACCGGCGAGATTTTCTCGATTAATATTCCTCCGTGACTTTGACAGGTGGCCCTTCTACGGAACAGTTTGACACGCACGAGGATAAAGGTATCAGCTGCGGTCGAAAATTTGAAATCATACTTTGAAACGTACGTGGAATACGATCCGATGTTCGTACAGCCGCAACCCTCCAACCCATGGATCACCGACGATCATATGTTTTGGCAACTGAATAGTCCCTTGTGAGTAATTGAAATCTGATACCTATGGCGTATGGCGGCAAGTTTCAATAACGCGTGCTTTATATGCGTGTCTAGAGTGGAAGTTCCTACAGAGAAGCGCGTTAAACGATGGGCACTGTCGATGGAAGAACTTATGTCTGATCCTACAGGTAACAAAACTTTTCGATCGCATTAATAGAACATCGTGTTCATTTCGCTAAACTCACATGCGCTATTCTATGTCGCAACAGGTTTACAAGAATTCACGAATTATTTAAGAAAGGAGTACAGCCACGAGAATATAAGATTTTGGCTGGCGGTCAAAGATCTCAGGCATAGTTTTCAAGCACAAATACCTGACAAAGTCAACGAAATTTTTAGGTACGCGCTGCGTTACATGTCCTAATTATTTCAATTTATATATAGAAAAAAAAAAAAAATAATCTATTTGTGACGTTCGAAAATTTAGAGAATTCCTGGCGCCCGGAGCCCCCTGCGAAATCAACATAGACGGGAAAACAATGGAAAAAGTTCATCAAGAGATGAAAAATCCGAGCAGATTTACGTTCGATTCCGCCGCGGAGCATGTATATACGTTACTGTTGAAGAAGGACTGTTATCCTAGATTTATTCGTTCCGATCAATATCGTAATCTCTTAGCTGCCGGCGTGCAACCACTACAGAAAAAGAGGTAAGCTCTGCCGTCAGAGTCGCGCCATATCAGACAAGATACGACCGTCGACCAACGTTTCCACCTTTCTTTTTTCAGATTTTTCGGCTTCGGCGGTCAAGCCAAGAAGAAAGTTTCCTCCACTTCGACACCGACGTCTAGCATTTTGCAGCACTCTTCTAACATAGGCGGCGGCGGCAGGCGAAGGGGAAGCGACCGGAGCCTCTCCGGGAGCGCCCACGAGCTCGCGGTGTGCGGCGTCCGTGACGTCACTTCCGCGCCGCGAGTGCCGCACTCCCACAGCCAGTCGAATCTCACCGACATCCCATACAGGTATGCGGGGGTTGGGGGCCCGAGGATGGTCCCCGTGACAGAGACATATTTATCCTACGGACTGTCCGGCGGGATACCGGCTATTTCTTGCGCTTTTAGCATGCTATCCATTCGCGCGGTACCGGGTGGACGTGGCCAATGATAGGCTTATTCGTGCGCGTCGTATTTTCAGGGGAGATCTACCACGACTCGTAAAGATACCTTCGAGGCCTAGTCCACGTAGTATTCAGTAAGTCACCCCCGATACATACCACGGTTTTCTCAATTAAGTGTCGGAGCGGACGGCGCACGCGGCGTGTTTAATAGAGCTTCCTGGCTCTCCTGCTCCTCTTCGTGTCCTCGTGCCGCGTGCCGCGGCTCTCTCGCCGTCGATCGCTCGAAATAACGATCGAGCAATAACGAGCCCGGTCCGAGATACACGAAGGGAGAGAGAGAGAGAGAGAGACGGTGCGAGTTATTAACGCGCTCCGCTGCACCGCGCGCTCCACTGTAACCTTCGTATCAGATTTTTGGCAGATCCTCTTTATCTCGGTGTGTTTGAAAACTCTCGCACTCTCAAAGAAATCATTTTACAAAAAGCTCACCAAAATGTGTGTGTAAAGCGTGTATCATTGGTATCAAATAGTACTGTATGATAATATTGTGCCCGTTCTTTGAACCTCCTTGATAAATCTCAGTGTTTCTGAATACTATCAAATGCCACATTGTATGCGGAGTATCTCAAAGGCAAACGTCGTTGTTTTGTACATAAACGCGCGTCTCTATCTTTTTAGCAAACAAAACAATCGCTATTGACCCATTATTGTACTTTGAGACACTCTGTA